ACCACTACACAAACATCTGATGACATCCCGTTACAGGTCACATCTGAATGACCTTTTGCAACCTTTGACTGACCAATGAAATAACTAACAGTAAGTAGACATTAGCCAATCAGGAAGCAGCTTTCTCAGGCTTTACGGCACTAGCTTCAAACTGATGACCTCCATTCCGGGCTACGCTTTAAAAAATATTTTGACAAAGTTCTCGATTTAAAACTTGAAAACTGACTAAAAGAAAATTCTGGAATGTCTATGGGATGTTCAAGACTATACGGCAGTACTTCGCACATGCTATGGAAAGTCTTTTACGTTTCAAATGTTTCTCCCATTGCAGTGAGAGATAGAAGATGACTTTGACGGAACAGTCATAGTGCCTGAATTGAAATTCGGAATGCCTCGTGTTAACCTTTTCTAGGTTCCATGATTAGAAAACACATTTTGATTTTCACTTGCATGATCTGATAAGCAACACTCCGATTGGTTGGATGAAAGGTCGTTCTGACGTCCTCAGTTCTATGCATAGCAGTTAAAGAGCACTAAGAACTCATTTTAATGAGTGAGTGAGTTGGGTTCAACGCCACTATTAACAGTATTCCAGTTACATCATGGCATGTCATGTCACCTTAATTAGGGCGAACCTGGACTCGAACCCATGATAATAGCTTTCTGGCGTGCCCACTTGGGCTAGCTGTGCCCACCTAATATTAATTAATGAGTGAGTGAGCGGGGTTAGATGACTGGGCCACTCGTGCCCCCTGATTTTAATGATATTGTATACCATAACACAATTTGTCAGTTTATTATATGCGTGTCCATTTTAAACATGATTTAGTGTATATTGTTTTTTCATAATAGCAAACATGTCACCGTGACACAATGAAATACAATGAAATTTAGAATCTCTGAATCAAGGAAAACATTACAATTCAACAAAAGATAACAATTCCTGACCATTATTCGATGACAAAAATGTCGCATGACTGTAGGACCAAGAGTATTATGTTGTCCGTCTTCAAGTAATACCCATCCAGGGATTTATATGCGGTCCTAAACTAAGCGCCCGGTAGGCAAGTCGGGAGAATTATCAGTGAAATACAATTTATCTCTACAATGCCACAAATTTAGTTGATGTTGACAATTGAGAAATGTGTAGTTACAATCTGGGAAATTTTACTGACATTTGCTGCCAACTTGGGGCCGAATATATCAGACTCTGAGCAGGTCTATTTAAATCCCTGCATTCACGTTCTTGATTTTCTCCAATGACAAGACTTATCTAAATTGAAGCAATACAACCAACAATAATAAACTCCTAAGATGCTCCCCTACAAGTTCCCCCCTTAAGATCCTCCATACTCCATGCCCTGTGTTAAGAGCAAGGTCAAACGGCCCCACCCACACCATGAGGTCACTGGGTACATTCTATACACATCAAGAAACGTGTGTTCTCAACATGACCTCTTCCACATTAAGGGAGCATAGCCTGGTAATATAAACTGATTAGAATGTCAAAGGGCTGCCTCATTGACATATTCCTTCCTTCTACTTACGCACTTGGTAATCAGCATGTTTTGTTGATTTCATGCAAATGCTGCCATTCTTCACCTTTCCAGCCTTACGACTGTAGTCTGGAGTGAGTGAGTGAGTGAGTGAGTGAGTGAGTGAGTGAGTGAGTGAGTGAGTGAGTGAGTGAGTGAGTGAGTGAGTGAGTGAGTGAGCATGGTCTTATGCTACTTTTTGGAATATTCCAGCAATTTCATGGCAGGGGAAACCAGAAATGGGCTTCATACTTTGTACCCATGTGGGGAATTGAACCCAGGTCTTCGGGGTGATGAGCGAATGCTTTACCCACAAGGCTACCCCACTGCCCCCTGTGTTCTGTAAATAATCAAGAATGGACCAGACAATCCAGTGATTGAGGTATGATCTGCACCATCTCGCTCCCATCTCGGTTACCCCAGCTCGCTCCCATCTCGGTTACCCGAGGTCGCTCCCATCACGGATACCCCAGCTCGCTCCCATCTCGGATAGCCCACCTCGCTCCCATCTCGGTTACCCCACCTCTCTCCCATCTCTGTTACTGCATCTCGCTCCCATCTTGGTTATCCCACCTCGCTCCCATCTCTGTTACTGCATCTCGCTCCCATCTTGGTTATCCCACCTCGCTCCCATCTCGGTTACCCCACCTCACTCCCATCTTGGATACCCCATCTCGCTCCCATCTCGGATACCTCACCTTGCTCCCATCTTGGTTACCCCACCTCGCTCCTATTTCTCTCCCATCTCTGTTACCGCATCTCGCTCCCATCTTGGTTATCCCACCTCGCTCCCATCTCGGATACCTCACCTTGCTCCCATCTTGGTTACCCCACCTCGCTCCTATTTCTCTCCCATCTCTGTTACCGCATCTCGCTCCCATCTTGGTTACCCCACCTCACTCCCATCACGGATACCCCACCTCGCTCCCATCTCGGATACCCAACCTCGCTCCAATCTCAGTTACCCCACCTCACTCCCATCTCTGTTACCGCATCTCCCTCCCATCTTGGTTACCCCACCTCACTCCCATCTCCATCTCCCTCCCATCTTGGTTACCCCACCTTACTCCCATCTCCATCTCCCTCCCATCTTGGTTACCCCACCTTACTCCCATCTCCATCTCCCTCCCATCTTGGTTACCCCACCTCACTCCCATCTCCATCTCCCTCCCATCTTGGTTACGCCACCTTACTCCCATCTCCATCTCGCTCCCATCTTGGTTACCCCACCTCCATCTCGCTCCCATCTTGGTTACCCCACCTCCATCTCGCTCCCATTTTGGTTACCCCACCTTACTCCCATCTCCATCTCCCTCCCATCTTGGTTACCCCACCTTACTCCCATCTCCATCTCGCTCCCATCTTGGTTACCCCACCTTACTCCCATCTCCATCTCCCTCCCATCTTGGTTACCCCACCTCCATCTCCCTCCCATCTTGGTTACCCCACCTCCATCTCGCTCCCATTTTGGTTACCCCACCTTACTCCCATCTCCATCTCCCTCCCATCTTGGTTACCCCACCTCCATCTCCCTCCCATCTTGGTTACCCCACCTCCATCTCCCTCCCATCTTGGTTACCCCACCTTACTCCCATCTCCATCTCCCTCCCATCTTGGTTACCCCACCTTACTCCCATCTCCATCTCGCTCCCATCTTGGTTACGCCACCTTACTCCCATCTCCATCTCGCTCCCATCTTGGTTACCCCACCTCCATCTCGCTCCCATCTTGGTTACCCCACCTTACTCCCATCTCCATCTCGCTCCCATTTTGGTTACCCCACCTTACTCCCATCTCCATCTCGCTCCCATCTTGGTTACCCCACCTTACTCCCATCTCCATCTCGCTCCCATCTTGGTTACCCCACCTTACTCCCATCTCCATCTCGCTCCCATTTTGGTTACCCCACCTTACTCCCATCTCCATCTCGCTCCCATCTTGGTTACCCAACCTTACTCCCATCTCCATCTCGCTCCCATCTTGGTTACCCCACCTTACTCCCATCTCCATCTCCCTCCCATCTTGGTTACCCCACCTTACTCCCATCTCCATCTCCCTCCCATCTTGGTTACCCCACCTTACTCCCATCTCCATCTCCCTCCCATCTTGGTTACCCCACCTTACTCCCATCTCCATCTCGCTCCCATCTTGGTTACCCCACCTTACTCCCATCTCCATCTCGCTCCCATCTTGGTTACCCCACCTTACTCCCATCTCCATCTCCCTCCCATCTTGGTTACGCCACCTTACTCCCATCTACATCTCACTCCCATCTTGGTTACCCCACCTTACTCCCATCTCCATCTCGCTCCCATCTTGGTTACCCCACCTTACTCCCATCTCGGAGTTCCCACAACGCTAATGCAATGATAACAACCCCCTCTATGGGAGCGTGACTATAGGTTGTTGTTGTGGGGTGTCCCATGCACACAGACAGCTTAGCAGGCTGCCAAGAGGCGGGTGGATTGGAACAGTAAACTAATGGTTGTCCATTCAAGGAGTCTTTAAATTATGGCATTACAGATTTCATACAATAGAAGTGAAAGAAGTGATGTTTGTAGTGATAGGGGTAGTGGCAGTTGGAGTGGTTGTTGCAGTTGATGAGTGAGAGGATTGGGTTTTGAAACCACTGACAAGAGTATTTCAGTCATGTCCAGTGAGGTTGCAGGCTTGTTTATTTGTTTGCTTATTTGGTTAACACCATTAAGTGGGTATTAAGCCTGGCCCAGATAAACTAGGGTTCCAAGAATTCCAGTCTGTAACTCAAGTCACTTGTCCGAAGTCAGAGTCTCACAAAGTTATTTCGGACCAGAAAAGCTCAGCCAAAAAACATGTCTCACGTGTGGTGAGTCTCACTTGTTTGGAGTTTCACTGGTCTGGAGTTTCACATGTTGACAGTTTTACTTTTTCTCAAAGGCACCATGAAATACAGAGACCTGTTGAGACTTAAAACATTTTGCTTAAATGATAAAATTGTGAAAGAATCCCTATATCTCAGGTATTTGGCAGTGGTCATGTGTGCGGAAGATGATAAACAAGATGTTTGTATTAAACACATGTAAAATGCTAAGAATCTTTCAAACACAACAAAAACACAACCTTAAGCTTAAGATTTCTTGTCAAGAACTACTGATACATGTTATCAATTCTAAATATTTTCCAACATTGTGGTAAATAAACTCTGCAGACATTCAGTGCAACAGATTTCGAACCTAGAAACATAATTGGGGTTTCTCAAAGCCTCAGCTACCAAGGTACTGTATTTCTGGGTTTGAATCCTAACTTGACCCTACCAATGAATCTTGGTCAACACCTATGTTCAAAATTTTCAACAAGCAGGAAAAGTCAAAACCTGCTCCATTTTGTTCCCTTCTTTCATTCAGCTGAAATTTTTAAAAAAGTGTCAAAATCACAACTCTCTCACCTTCAACAATTGTTTGCTTCATCAACTCAGTTTTAACTCACCTTGCTTACAAGGATGTCTGTGTGGTCAAAATGCCGGCCATACATTTTGGGCGTGTCCCCTGGGAGGGACTCTATCTTGATACACACTTCCTGCCCCTGCCGCGCCATGTCCACATTCTTGTGATTGTTCTCTATTGATGTGATGCGGCCCAGGTCCACAAACTGAAGCAAGATATCACCAGCTATCATCATTCTGACACCAAGACAACACGAACAGCCATCATTCAGACACCAAGACAACATGAACAGCTATCATTCTGACACCAAGACAACATGAACAGCTATCATTCTGACAATACGAACAGCCATCATTCTGACACCAAGACAACACGAACAGCCATCATTCTGACACCACGACCACCTATCGTTCTGACAACACAAACAGCCATCATTCTGACAACACCAACAGCCATCATTCTGACAACACAAACAGCAATCATTCTGACACCAAAACAACACAAACAGCCATCATTCTGACAACACCAACAGCCATCATTCTGACAACACAAACAGCAATCATTCTGACACCACGACCACCCATCATTCTGACACCACGACCACCTATCGTTCTGACAACACAAACAGCCATCATTCTGACAACACAAACAGCCATCATTCTGACAACACAAACAGCAATCATTCTGACGCCAAAACAACACGAACAGCCATCATTCTGACAACACAAACAGCCATCGTTCTGACAACACAAACAGCAATCATTCTGACACCAAAACAACACGAACAGCCATCATTCTGACAACACAAACAGCCATCATTCTGACACCAAAACAACACGAACAGCCATCATTCTGACAACACAAACAGCCATCATTCTGACACCAAGACAACACGAACAGCCATCATTCTGACACCAAGACAATATGAACAGCCATCATTCTTACAACACCAACAGCCATCATTCTGACAACACCAACAGCCATCATTCTGACAACACAAACAGCAATCAATCTGACAACACCAACAGCCATCATTCTGACAACACCAACAGCCATCATTCTGACAACACAAACAGCCATCATTCTGACAACACCAGCAGCCATCATTCTGACAACACAAACAACCATCATTCTGACACCATGACCACCCATCATTCTGACAACACCAACAGCCATCATTCTGACACCGTGACCACCCATCATTCTGACAACAGCCATCTTCCTTCCAAACACCTGTACCAATGCACTCAGCAAGCACACAATACATAAACATCTTTTTTCAAATATTAAAGACACTTTTGAAATTGGAAAAGGCAAAGCATACAATATCCAAATCTACCTCACCATTTTGTATAAATGGCTGCCTACACGTTTATCCTTCCGATGGAGGTTCCAGACCACCAGGTCAACCAGTGCAGTCAGATGACTAAATATATTTCTTTCTCCACCAGAAGCAAAATGAAAAGAGGGAGACTACTGTGCTATATTTGACTTCTGACCCTGAGGTATCAACAACATCAGGTTATTGTGAGTGAATGTTGTGTTGCCAGTCAGCAGTACTCCAGTCTAATCATGAAGGTCCATCAATAACCAACTCTGGCCCAGGCAAACCTGAAGTTAGATTGACAACAAGAGCAACAACCCAAGCCACTGTGAAAACACTATTGACCATTGCAACCATCTGATTCTTTCTCTGGTTATCCGAATAGGGAAATGATAGGGATAATGGATGATGGTACACGTGGAGTGAGTGAGAGAGTTTGGTTAAAAACTGCTTTGAACTGTGCTTGAGTTATACCATGGGGTCAGCTTACTGTGGGAGGAAAGCCCAAAGTGGTGCAGGTCTTAGACGTTTACCACTTTGGTGAAACCCTTGAGCACAGGCATGGTGTTGATAAACTTTAAAACATAAACAGAGTGAATCTTAAACTGACATTCAGAGGTTTCTGGCAGGCCTAAGGGAAGCAACTCTGTACAGTGAACTGCGGCGTCTAAGACAACTCTCTGTAACACTGGCAGTAGGCATGAAGGTCTTTGTGCCATGTCCGTCCATCCATCCAGAGGCTACCCAGACTCCCCCAGCTCACATCACCTTGTATCTACTACACACACATCATTCCTATCTAGATCACACCATACCTTCCATACTTCCTTAATCATTCGACTATCATAATTTATCCTCCCTTTAAAGCCTGATCACATCAAACACACCTTCAAGTTGATGTGTACTTTCACTTAACCAACATTTCGTAATTTGCTTTACAGAATCTCAAGGGTTAGTTCCTGTTTGATTGGCACCTGTCATCAGATGAAATGAGCAAAGAGAAGTGCATGCTTCAAAATTAAATTGATCCTTGAGCTACCAACAAAAGTGCAGCACAAAAGCTTCAAATGATATGTTTCCTACACAAACAGGCTCAGCCAAGCAGAAACGTGGACCATAATGAAATGCACACACTGCCCTGTGACACACTCAGCCTCTTATCATCATTTTCAAATATAAACCTCAAGTGAGAAAAGCACTGGACAATATTTGAGGCGAAGGTTAATTTATAATGAGGTGTGTCTTTGGTTAGACTGCTGGATCAACCAGCCCCGGCAACATCCTGCCCACCCAGTTGGGGCCATGTCCCAAGGTAGATCCCTAGCCACCCAGTTGGGGCCATGTATCAAGGTAGATCCCTCCCCACCCAGTTGGGGCCATGTATCAAGGTAGATCCCTAGCCACCCAGTTGGGGCCATGTCCCAAGGTAGATCCCTAGCCACCCAGTTGGGGCCATGTCCCAAAGTAGATCCCTAGCCACCCAGTTGGGGCCATGTCCCAAGGTAGATCCCTCCCCACCCAGTTGGGGCCATGTCCCAAGGTATATCCCTCCCCACCCAGTTGGGGCCATGTCCAAAGGAAGATCCAGGGTAAGAACTTTCCTCCCGGGGCTAGTACAAACTTCTGAAAAAAACAGCTGCAGAAACAGCCTGGATTTAACTACAGTGGCACATAGATGTATAGCAATAGGTATTATGTGAACCCTCCATTATAGATTGAATGGGAATGTCATAAAAGCTTGCTCATTTTGGCCATGTCTCTTTCATCTCGTCACGTTTGAAGTGGAACCAAGTTTTGATCATTTGTGTCACTGTGCATTTTATGACTTTCTCGGGTCATACTTTCCGCAGTCCTAGTCAGAGCAACTTTGAACGTAAACCCTACAGTTTGTTCTTATTCTTTGACAGAAGTGACAAATGATTACCTTTGAAAAAGAACCAATTATTATTATCCAAGTTCAAAGCTGGCAGTATTACAAGGATCCTTTTCGTCAAACAAGATTTACATAAACTTAGAAATGATGACAGCTGAAATGATTGAAATTGGGCATGAAAGTCAAGGGATCTAATTCCAAAAGATAAAAGTGTAAGGGGTCCCTAGATTCAAATACTATAGCAGCGTGCTTCAAGATTCCCAGTATCCCCTGATTAGGTTTGAACATCACATCTTGTATTGGTTTTCTTCAACACTTGCATGCTTGTGACCTATAACACATTTTATTGAGTGTTAGGGACCGACAGTTTTATTTTCTGGGTGGGGGTTGGGATTCTATCAACACAAAAGAGCGTCTCAGAAAATGCACGAAATATATGCTTCAAACCAAGGAGAAAAGAAATAAAATTGTCTGCCACGAAAATTACATTGTTGCATCTGAGTACAAAATTCCAGCCTCGCTACTTGCAAGTGATTGGAAGAAACGAAAGAGTTATCAGTCATGATCATATCATTTAAACCTTTTTCAGTATGATTAATAAATGTGCCACTTAAAGTGTGTGTGAAAGGATCACTGTCATATGTTGTCCTGAAGGAAATCTTTCAACACCATGTCTGTTCTCAACCCTTGCTAAGTCACACATCAATGTAGTTTTTCATCGAACAGGTTTTTTTTTCAAATAAATGGTCAGAAGTAAAACCTATCCTACTCATAAACAGATAAAGAACACCAGATCCCTCGATATAACTACCTTCAATCTGTCGAGCCATAACAGATTAACTATAGTAAATATGAAAGAACCAGTGTTCTTAACTTCATTTGAGTAGTATATTTGAATGGCATCTTGATAACCTAACACCTTGAGTCTGAACAAACTAACCCCTCGAGTTCTGAACAAACAAAAACAAACAACTCTTTTCTTTAAATGCGAAATTGTATTTGTAAGTAATGACTACATATCCAGATAGTACAAACTGACATGGACTTAGGTAATCACCTGGCCATGACCAGTGCTGTAGCTCAAATGACTATCCCTTCCGACAGAGCTTCTGTGGTTTCAACTTCAGTGTCTATCATTATCCCTGCATTATCTACTTGGGAAATAAAAACCACAAAAGAGTGTTCACAATGCTTAACAAAGCCCTCTCCCATTAAGACAAGCCCTTGAAAGCCACACAACACATCACCATGTAATGGAACTTCACAGTAGTAAATGACTCAATTGTCCTAATAAAATAAAGCAATGCTTCGAGTCCCTATAATCAGAAGAAGGCTTACTCCAGCCACACAAAGGAGGCCACTAACACAGTGACACAACTGCTGGTTGAATTTCCGACACAAATCTGCTGACACCACAATGACAAGGCAGAATGAGACACGAAAAATAACAGTTTTATCAAGTAATACATCTATGCTGTTTTTTACCCAGTCATAAGATGATACAACTGACATATCAATCGGGAGCTGTCATTCATCCCTGACGAGACGACCCGACCCCAACATCCTACGAGGTCACACCTGAGATCCCCCGCCAGGTATATGGCAGGCAGGTCACATGATCAGGTGGGCTCCGGCACTACAATACACCGATGAAGGGACATGCGACTGGTATAGGTTTGGCTGATAGTCTACCTGACAGCGATAACATCAGAAGCCTGGGGCTATGGTTCTGGTTAAAGACCCATTCACACACCACTGCTAATACCGCCTTCTCCCTGGTAAACTTGCTGTGAATCATTGTGATTCAAGTACGTCATATGAAAGAGTCTGAATTATGGGGTTTTGGATCCATTGCCGATTCCCAGGCATATTTCAGTGTTTGCTGGAATATAGTCTTTCATTTGAATCCAGGGAACCCTTTAAATCTTGATTTGTTAACATTATGACCACCACTACTTGCCTTTCATGCCTCAGTTAGAACACTCTTCCTTGTCTATGCAGGTCTATC